GGGCGGGGGGCGGCCCCGGGGCGGGGCTGGCACCGATAAAAGCCCGGAGCCCGGCACGGAGAGCCAGGCTTAGCTGGGGACAGGCTGAGAGAGAGGGATGGGAAGGCTCAGCTGGAGAGGGGAAGGATCCAGGGAGAGCTCAGAGCTTAAAGGGGCTCCAGGAGAGCTGGAGAGGGACTGGGGACAAGGGATGGAGGGACAGGAGCCAGGGAATGGCTCCCAGTGCCAGAGGGCAGGGATGGGGGGGATATTGGGAATTGGGAATTCCTGTCTAGGAGGAGTGGGATGGAATTCCCAGAGCAGCTGTGGCAGCCCCTGCATCCCTGGCAGTGCCCAAGGCCAGTCTGGACGGGATTTGGAGCAGCCTGGGATGGTGGGGGCTGTCCCTGCCCTGGATGGGATTAATGTCCCTTCCATGGGGGATGCCTGGGAAGCTGCAGCCTCTGAGCTCACCTGGACCCTGCCCAACCCTTCCCACATCCATCAGCTCCGGCTGGATCAACTTCCAGCCGTGGGGAGAGCTGCAATTCCCAAGGCACGGAGGAAAACCAGCTCAGGCAGGAGATGATGTGCTGGAAGCTAAAAGCCGAGGGAGATTTGGAAGCGGGACCTGGATTTCCTGCTTCCCACTGCCGAGCTTCACCTACAGGCACTTCGCACCTCCCACTGGGATGAGCAAGAAGGAATTTGCACATCCTGGGAGTGATCCCACTCGCACCTGCAGCCAGCTCTGCTGAGGGTGTCCAACCCCGGCAGCATCCTCCTGCCTCGCTCCAGACACCAAATCCCTTCATTCCTCGGCTGAAAGGAGCAGCCTGGATTCTCTGGCCGGGGTGAATGTGGGTCACCAAGGCTCGAGCCTAAATCAGATTATTTTTACATTCGGTTTCATCACTGAATTGGTCCTAGGAAGGCACTGCTGTGTTCAAACGTGAATCGTGGGGTGGCTGATTTCCCAGGGGAAAAATTCTCTCCAGAGACCCGATGGATCAGGCTGGGATTCAGAAGGAAAAGCAAGCCAGCATTTCCCAATAATTCAGGATATGATTTGGCTTTTTAAAGGTTGACTTCCAGCCTGAAGTGACCCCAAATCAACCCACAGGGGTCAGTAGCTCCAAAAGGCTGTAAAAAAATGATGAAAACCAGTGATAGATGTGAAAATGACAATTTTTGGGGTTCCTTGCAGGCGTTTTTGGTGTCCATGCACAGCATGTAAAGCCCAGGGGATTCACCTGGATTTTTGGGATGAGCCAGGATTCTCAGCCTCGATCACAGGACTCAGCTGTTGCCTCTGTGAGCAGGGAATTCTCCTGGGAGTGTTTGTTAAACGTTACTCATCCCACAGACACCTATCAGAGCAAGCAGGGGCAGTGCCTGGCAGCTCTTATGATGCAGGGATGAAAAGTAGAGAAGGAAATCATTTTCATCTCAAGAAATAATCCCTGAGAGAAGCCACAGCATTGAGGGATGGAGTGATCCATCCCCTACCCAAGCCTCCAGCACAAAGAACACACACAACATCACATGCAAGGTTTCAATAATCTGATTTTTAACATTATTTCTGGAGCCAGTTGGAGAGACAAAGCGTGGGTGACATCAGGTGACGGAGCACAACCCCTCAGAGCGCTCTGGGGTGACAAATTCAACAGACACAACAGGTCCCCAGCTCAACACCAAAGGAAAATGGGTCTCAGAGTGATATTTAACAGCCATGAAACAAAGATATCACGTGGAAAGTCTCATTAGAAAGTCGCCCAGGTTCCTGTGTGAAGGGTTTATATGAAAAAGCAGGAGTTCTCCACCCTGAATTCCTGATAGAAAACAGCAGGTAGAAACCTAAGGTAGAAATCTGGAGTTAGAGAAATCCTTTGGCAGCATGTTCAGTTACAATCAGGCCTTAAAAATAAATATGATCATGTCTAGAAGTATGAAGAGAAACACCAACCCCCTCTAAATACACCGGTTTAATAATAATTAAATTATTTTACACTATCTACAAGTTGCATATCACAGAGTTAGGAGTAGAAGAGGTGACAGAAGGACAAACCCAGCTTTATAAAAGTTCAGGCATGTGTGGAGCTGTGTAGAAAATCTCAGACAAATGAGTATGTACATTATTTATATTTAACAATTAACATCATCAAATCACATCTGGCTGGCTCAATTGAAGATTTCTCTTGGCCCAAAGCTCAGAATCAAAAAAACAACCCCACCAATTTAAATTTCCTGACAAACATGGAGAGTTCATAGCAATGAGAGTCTGACCCCAAACCAACTTGGAACAAAGTAAACTCCGAAAAATAAAAGCTCCAGACAACCAGAATTTGAAACAGCAGCGTGGAAATAAATTCATTTCCTCAAAAAAGACACAAGGAACAAGTTATCAAAACACTTCAGTATTGCCACGTGTGTTATTTGTACTGAGCTACTTCCAGGGTAATTAAAGTCATGTCCAAAGGAAAGACAAAATCCTCCTTCCAATTGCACACATTTAAATAAAAAGTGATTTAGAGAGCAGGTGCTGAAGGCTTTTTGCATGAGCACGAGGCTGCAAATGTAAGGTCAAGGTAGCAAATAATTAAATAAAAGGGAAAAGAGATGGAGGAGGTGCTGAGTGAAGGGTGGGTTTTGGCACTCAGCAGCCTGGGAGTTCCAATCTGGGATGAAATTTATCCATCAAAAATGCTTATTTAGACACCTGGGAGCTTCCTGCATTTAATTGAGATGTTTCTGTCAGTAATTTGCTTCCATTATTTCCCCAACCCAAGGACTCTCACTCACCAGAGGTGGTTAAAAGCAGGATAAATGTGACCATGCTCCAGTGAGGAGGTAAACAGGAGGATGAAGTGATATTTTTTTTTTTTTCTCCAGCAGTTGAAACCAGAAAAAGAAAGAAATCCCACATTCCCAAAGGATAATCCAGCTCATGTGCTCCCTTGGACAAACCCCACCTTTTAAAAAGTGCATCAGGGAAGAAATTCTTGGATTTCTTTTCTCACCAACTGCCACAAGTGCCCAGCTCCGGGGCAATCCCTGCTCCAGGGACACGGCTCTGCTTTTCCCTGTGCACAGGAGCCCAATCCCAGCCACCAGCACGTGGGATGTGCCTAAACCCCCCTTTCCCAAGTGCTGCAGGAGCTCCTCTGGGGTCAGGGCTTCTTTAGACACCAACACCGTGGCAGAGAGAGGAAATCCAAGAGAGGCAGAACCCCCTGGTCCCATCAAAACGATTCCCGTTGCGCTCAGCTCCCCCTTGGAAAGGGAACAGATCCTCAGAGTCTTCAGCAGCTTCAAACCTTCTCCAGCCCCCCACTTTCCCACAAAGAATGACAATTCTCCTCCACTTCTCCATCCATCCAGAAGGGAAAACTGAAGAGGGATTCTGGGCGAGTTCCTGGCTCAGCACCTTGGATCCACGGAGTGCACAGCTGGGAGCATCCCCTGCCCGCTCTTCCCAGCGCCACCTCCGCCAACACTGGGGAATTTGAGGAAAACTTCTTTTCCTCCAGAAAAACACAGCAGTTCTCTGCATTTTCTGACATATAGAGGCAGCAAGCACTGTTGAAACCCTCTTTTTCTCCTATTTCCTATTCTGAGTGGCAGAATTTCCTCTTCCAGCCAGAGCCAGGGATCCCTCGGATCTTCCTTCAGGAAGGGGACCCCGAACTGCAGAGATTCCCTAAAGGCCCTGGGACAGAAGGATTACAGAAGACACCAGAGGAGGCAAAGCAACAGCACCTCAGCATCCTCAAGCTTCCAGAAACACACTGAAAAGAGAATTATTTTGGGACAATCTCTCAAAGATTCACAAGTGGCGTTTCCTGAAAGCGTAGGGGAAAAAAAAACAACAAACCAGAAGGGACTCGGAGGAACGGGGAATTATTTTAAACCATCCCCTAATCTAGTTCAGGATGCAAAAATGCAAATAACCATCAGAGCTGGTGCCTATTTTTACTCTGCATCACCCTAACGCAGCGAGTTGGGTTATTTGAGAGGAAGATGGACTTTGATATCCACGGCAGGGACTCCCAAAGATCCTCGGGTCGCAATTCCTCCATTCCGGCCGTTTAAAGCAGAGGCTGCTGATGGAAATTGTTCTGCTGCTGGAGCAGGGAATGAGCAGGAAGAGGCACGGGATAAGCTGGTCCTTGGCTGCTCTGGAATGCTGCCATGTCCACGGCCATGCCCATCTGGTGCTGGGGGAAGGCGGCAGCGGTGCCGGTGACGCTCGGGAAGGGCGGCGGCAGCGTGGGGTCGGGGCCGGGGCTGCGGGGACACAACACCAACCAGGCTGACAGTGCCAGCTCTCACTGACAGCAAAAGGCTTTAAAATCATACAGAATTTGGGGATTTAGAAAGAAAGTTAAGCTTGGAAAGCCCTGGGAAAAGTAGGCCCTGGGAAACGTTAGGCCTTGTGCTTGCTAAAGATCAGGTGAAACTGCACCTGTGTAATCAATATCTGATACAACTGTTAGATGTGATTAGATATAATTATTGTTTAAAGAATCATGAGGAACAATGTTAGGGGATTGAGAGAGGATCACAAGAAATCCATGCTTGGGTAAAAACAATGCATATAACAAAACAATGTAAGTTTAATAATTAATATAGAAGTTATATAATGATAAGAGTATAAAACATGTTCAACTCAAAACCAAGATGGGTCAGATTTGGGTCTGTGTACCCCTGACACCCAGAGCTCTTCAATAAAGCACCTTCAGATAATCATTCCATGATTATGTGTGTTCCTGAACTCTAACAACAGCATCACCAAAACAAGCTGGGAGCTCCCTGAAGATGAATGTTTGACCAAAATGGTCACCACAAACATGTGAAAGGTATTTCATGTTTTGCTGGCTGTGAAAATAACAGTTTTTTACGCGCAAGCTCTTAAATTAAACCAGCTCTGGCCTTGCAGTTTCCCTCCATGTTAATAAACAGAGTTTCCCAGGAATTCCACACTTTTCATGCCCATAACTTGGCAGTTTTTTATGGTTTTTGCAGGAAAAACGTTTTCACCCTCAAAATTCTTCCAGCAGCTCAATAATTCTGATATGTAACTTCAACTTTTTAATTTACTCTTGCTTTTTAACTTCCTCTTTCTTTTTAACTCACTCTTTAACTTGCTCCTACTATTTAATGTTTAATTTTTGGTGCTGGCTACTTAAAGCTGAGGTCAGAGATTCCTTTTCAACCTTCATGGGAAACCTCCTTGTGCAGGATCAGCTTTATCCAGAATAATGCTCTCATTGCTCCCTGCTTTAGTAAAATGGATATTTTCCTCTCCAAATGAAGTGGCACCAAAGGAAAACACCATGAGAACAAGCAAAGTGGCAAAATTCCCACCCCCCAGGAAGAAGAATTTGCTGGACCCATACCTTAAATAAGCAGCTGGAGGTGGCTGAGTGGCTGCAGAGTTGATGCTCTGAGGCAGAGACCTCACCTGGCTCACCTGCTCCGGGGCCAGGCTGTATCCTGGGGACATGGACACTCCCTGGATCATGTAATTCCCACTGGGAGGCTGCACAGGATACGACTGCAAATCAAATCAAATCCAATTAAATCCAGGAGATTTGCTGCTTAGCACACTTTGCAATGAAACCACCAGAATCTTCTAAAGCTGGAAGCAAAACCTGCGGTTTCTTCCAATTCTGGTTTAAATCATGCAAGATCGCCTCAAAATTCAGGTGGCACAGGCTGGAGCTGCTGGTGGGGCTTGGATTTGGGATAAACAGGTTTGTCCTAAATAAAGCCCAGCATTATCCTGCATTTCTGTGCACCAGTCTTGGGAGGAAACAGCAAACTCCCGTTGCCTTTTGGCTTAAATTACTTTGTAACCTCCAAATATAATGAATTTTCCATCGTTACTGGGAGTTAAGGACACAGAATTACTTTTAACTGACATATTTTCAGATCTAGCAGTTGCTATGGCAACTATTCTTTTCCCACTGAACAATTAACATGAAAGTAAAATTCACTTCAAGTAAAAAAACCCTCATTCTGTGCTTTTTCAAAGTCTCTCCTTCCCCTCCATGTTTATTCCTTAAGCCATCATTAGGGACAGTGTAAAACAGTTTGGAGCACAAACGCAACGTGCTCAGAACTGATACAAAATGTTCATTTTTCTAAGGGCAAAAGGAGCTAAAAGCAGAGTGTTTCTATATTTAGCACAAAAAAAATACACTTGGGATTAATACACTGATATTCCAGCTCCCTCCCATCCCCACTATTAGATAAGAAGGGAACATTTCACTTTGGAGATTGACGTGACTCACAGCAAGAATATCCAGCAAGCTGCTGCAACACCCAATTCCAACTGCAAGAAATGAATTATGGAAGGGATCTTTTGGAATTTTCAACAGTGGCCAAGCAAAACCTTCTGTTCCAGTGCATAAATCCCAATTTCTTGCAATGTCAGATTGCTCGTGGGCTCCCTTTAGTTATTGCTGTGATTTTTTTTTTTAAAACAGGGATAAGCAACAGGGAATTTCCAGATTCCAGGGAATTTCCAGATTCCAGGGATACTGACCGGCAGGGAGACTCCAGAGGAGGTGGGTGGGAATTGTGCAGGGTGCTGGAGTTTGGAGTAGGCTGAGTACATGGGGCTCTCATTCATCAGTTTGTTGTAGAGCTCCAGAGCTTCCAGAACCTTCACGTTCAGTTCGGATAACTCGGAATGTTTCCTGTTCCAAAAGGAATGGAGAGGGCACTGAGCTGCTGGGATGGCTTAGATGGGGAGGGAAGAACAGTGCTGCACCAAATGTGCAAGGAAAAAAAGCCCCTAAAAGGTAAAAGGTTCATTTTTTACCCATTTTTTACTCATTTACATTGAAAAATTGCTGTTCTGCGACTGGAAGGAAAATCCAAGAGCTGCACAACCACTGGCACCAAACCAGCAATTCCCAGATGGAATTCCCTGCTCTTTTCACCCCCAAACAGCCCCAGGAGTCACAGAATCATGGAATTTTGGTTGGATCCTCCTTGAAAGATCTAATTCCAGCTTTCTGCCATGGACACCTCCCAGTATCCCAGGGTGTTCCAGCCTGGCCTTGGGCACTGCCAGGGATCCAGGGGCAGCCACAGCTGCTCTGGGAATTCCCAGTTCCCAATATTGCCCCCATCCCTGCCCTCTGGCAGTGGGAGCCATTCCCTGTGTCCTGTCCCTGAGCAGGGAGAGGTGAGGATAACATGGAATAATCACCAACAGACTGAAAATTCCAAGCTCTAGACAGCCTGGAGAAGGCTCCAGTCACAAAAACACCAAAACAAAAACCATCCATGACTTGTGCAGTGAATTTTGGGAGAGCAGCAATCAAATCTCAGTGCACACGCTCAGAACTTGATATTTCAGCATTAAAAAAAAATAAAGTTGTTAAAATTTTCTTGCAAGGTTTTCTAGCTCAGGAGATGAAAGCACCAAAAAGATGTGATTAAAACTGCCCAATTTGAAGGAAACCAGTGAATAAATTGTGCTCACCTATCTATCTCCTCGAGTTTTTCATCTATCATTGGACCCATCTGCTGGCAGATATCTGTGAAAACAAAGTGTTGAGGCAGTTGATGTCTTGCACAATTAAATGTTTAAATGCAGCCAAAAAATATTTTATCTAACTAGAGTAAAATTAATTGCCTATTTATTTCAGGGTTGGGATTGGTAGATGGATCTTGCAAAGCTCAGGCATCTCACAGAGCTGGGAGTTATGCAAATGACTCTGCTAAACATGGAGCTGGCTTGGAACTATTAAAAAAAATTCAAATTATCCCCAGAGCCCCACACTCCCACGGTGAAATAAGTGTTCTCCAGCACTGTTAGCACTGAGTACAGCTCCCCTAAGCTTAAAATAAACACAAAGAACTCCCAGCTCAATCCACAAAAGGTAATTGTGAGGAGAAGTCATAAAAAACAGAGCTCATTTAGTGCTGCTGGTACCTTCTGAGTCGAGGAGATCTGGAGAATCGAGCTTTAGGTCCATGGGATCTATGCTCTGAAGTACCTGCAGTGTTTTATCCATCTTGTCCTGAAAGGGGAAGCCAAGATGAAGAACTTAGATTTCTCAGACATGCCAAAATTGGTTTAATATTCAAATAAAAGTTTTTTATTGACAAAGAATCATCTGCCAACGTTCAGCACAAAAAGAATGTAAAAGCCCAGCAATATTTCATTTTCAAGTGGCTTCATACCTCATCTATATAAACTGGCTCAGGTTCTGCTTTCTTAATTTCTTCTGCAGCATCCTCAGGAACAGAGATTTTATCCACAGCTGCTGAAAGAACAGAGATGAGTTTCTCTTCTCTCTGTTGCTGTAATAACTTCAAACAAACATTTGCTCCTTGTTATTTTTCTGTGTGAAAAGACACTGTGACATTTGAAGTGGCAATTTACTGGATTTGTAAATATGCTGCTGACAAGGAATTATGGTGAATCAAACCAAATTTCTGTCACAGAAAATGAGAATAACTTAAAAGAGAAATAGAGGCAGAAATTAAAACGAGTTATGGAATGATCTGTGCTTGACTGTTTGAAACAAGGGCAGGATGTCTCTCAATTCTTTCCTGAGGCTGATAGAGGAAATTATTTTGCTGCTGGGCTAATTAGGATTGCAGCACAAAGCTGCCTTTGTGAAATAATCCATCATTTCAGCCTTTGTGAAATAATCCATGGGTGGTTTCAGCAGGTAACTCACCTGCCTCGGGCTCCACAGACAAGTCAGAGGTGACGAAATTGGATGGGAAGAGCCCCACTCCTCTGTGGTTCTCCCCTTTCCACCAGTTGGCATCACTGGGGAAACAAAGAAGGGTTACAGGACTCTGGGGTGAACGGAGCCAGGGACATATCTGGGGTTTTTACTGAAAACCTGAGGTTCAGAGACATGTCTGGTGGTGGCTTTTTTAACCTGTGATATCTAAAAGAGAACATTTGCAGGGATTAGCACAAAGCCAAACAGGAGCTGGGCCAGAGGGCAGGGAAGGGAAGAGGAATCAGGGGATCACTGGAAGTTGAACACAATTCATCAATTCCTTACATTGATTACTTGCCAGCCCTTTAAAGCTGTAAATATCCTATAGGTGTTAACAACAATCATTGTTTTAGCTACTTTTATTCAGTTTTACTCTTGGCAAATGTGATTCTGGATAGCCAGAGGTTTAATTGCTGGAAGCAGATGGAAATGTGATGCCAATGCATCTTCTTATGTCAGACAAGCAATTAAGATTTATCTTCAAAACTACAAATTGGGTGAAATACTCGAGGTTCTCCCTGCACTAAAAATGATTTGAGGTCAGAAACTAGGATTTTGGAAAGATAAAAGGAAGAGAAAGGGATGAGAGGGAAGGCAGAGTGACAATTACATTTCTGGAGGGGTGTGGGGGGGAAAAAAGCATCAGAGGATAAATGTGCTACCCTGAGAAAACAACAGTGGTGGAACCAAGTCAGCTCCACCTGAGTGTATTGTACCTGTCATCCAAAACAAAAATAATTTCTCCACTTTTAAAGGTGAGCTCATTGTCCTCCACAGCTTCAAAGTCATAGAGAGCTCGCACCTTCCTCAGGCTCGGGGGGTTTTGTGGCATTTCTGCAGATGGGTACAAGGATTTGGTTTCCATTTGCTGCTGTTTCTGCTCTTGCAAAGACAATTCGATGGCTGCAGGTGGGGCAGAGAGGAAAAGAAAAGTTTGTGGGATTGGTTGATCCCTGGAGACAAAGCAGTTTGATTTCTTGATTAAACAAAAAGAGGATTTCTTTATTGAAACACGGGCTGTATCTGCTTCTGTAGTGTTAAAAGCTAATATTTCAAATGTGATGGGGAGGAATGGGGCTTACCCCCAGTTTCCAAACACCTGGAATGCCACAATTCCCAACCTGCTGTGCCCTTGACTGCAATTCTGTGCAGCAGGAAAGAGCCCAAATTTCCCTGCTTTTTAACAAAACTCCTGGAGACTAACCCAAGGCTGAGACAGCAACTCACCTTTAGCTATATCCTCATCTTCCTTGGATTTGCTGGATGAGGAGCCATTCTTAGCAGCGTTGGTGGAAGCCTGCAGAGGTGGGAACAACAAAGGGACAAATGAAATCTCCAGATTTATGTGTTTTTAATAAATTAGCACCAAGCTGTTCCCGATCACAGGTGGATAAAGGAATCCAGGTGATCTCCTAGAAATAAAAATCACCATTCTTCAGGGTTTTTTTTTTCTGTTTTCAGCAAGGAAAAAAAGTAAAATAAATCATGAGATTTAACTGAAATGATTGGTTGTATTGAAATAATTATTTTAATCATATTTATTACAGTGAGATTACTCATTTAAATGACTCTTTCCACCTTTATCCTTCACTCCTCCCTTCAAGAGAGAAGATGCTCCAGTTGGGAGCTGCTGACTTAAATCCTCCAGTTCTCCCCAGCAGCACAGTGAAATCATTCCTGGAGTTTTCATTCCCACCAGGAACTGGAATTGGGTGCCAGTGCTCAACTCTCCCATGTTTCTGCCATATGTTTTACACATAGATCAGATTTAGAAGTGAAAACATCTTTGTGGAGGAAGGAGGGATTGTAAAAGTTAAAAAAAAACTTGCAGTGTTTCACCCAGAGGAAAGTAAACTTTGTGGAAAGAAATTGTAATTTGAATTTTCAGAACTGAACAGCATGGGAATATTTAGAAGTGTCAATAATAAAAGTCAGGAAAAAACCACCTGGCATCGTATCTGCTGTAAGACTGGGCACAACAAACCAGCAGAAGTGAAAAATAAACAAACCTCAAATCCAGGAAAACTCCTGACACGGGCAGGAGAGGGGACAAACAGGAAAAGGGGATTTGGGACAGGAAAGCAGAGCATGGGATCCATCACTATCCCAAAGCAGCTCTGACCTGGGATCCTGCTGCAGGAAAAGTGACCCCTTCTTCCTTCAGGGATTTGATGGTTGCAGATATTAAGCTACATTGTGGGTCTTTCTGGAATTCTTCTGACCACTCCACCATGAGGCTTTTTAGCTTTTCACTCACTTTTGGGTGAGCCTGGAAGACAAAATTGGATAAAAAGGGATGTTTGAGGCTCAAAATGAACAGAAGGAGCTATTACCAAAATTGTTACTGAACCCATTTTACTATAAATACGCTTAATTATTGATAATTGTGTAGATTGAGAAGGTCTGGGGAGCAGAGAGTGGAGTATCTGGCTTTTTAGAGCCTGATCTGATATTCCAGAAAACATGCTGAACTCCTGGAGCACTAATTCTGGAGAAATTCAGGCTGCCTACCACACTTACCCCAAATTTCTGCCTCTCTGTGTTACTCACCCTCCATTTAACCTCAATTTTCTCTTCATTCCTTCTCAGGTGTGTTGTTTTCCACTTCCCAGCTGCATAAATTGCTCTGATATAGGACACAAGAAACCCTACAAGAAACCTTTCCTTACAAGAAATCCTAAAGAAATCTTTCTCTAGAAGAAATCCTACAAGATATCCTGTAAGAAATCCTACAAGAAATCTTTTCCTACAAGAAATCCTGTAAAAAATCCTACAAGAAATCTTTCCTCCACAAGAAATCCTGTAAGAAATCCTGCAATAAATCTTTCCCCCTCAAGAAATCCTACAAGAAATCTGTAAAAAATCCTACAAGAAATCTTTCACTATAAGAAATCCTACAAGAAATCTTTTCCCCACAAGAAATCCTACAAGAAATCTTTCCCTAGAAGAAATTCCACAAGAAATCCTGTAAGAAATCCTACAAGAAATCCTACCCTATTAAAAATCCTATAAGAAATCCTACAAGAAACCTTTCACTGTAAGAAATCCTACAAGAAATCCAGGACAGGTTTGTCCTGGCTGAGAGAACCTCACACAAACGTGATCTGTGTCTCCTGGAGCCACAAAATAATCCCACAAAAAGGGATTATCTATAGGGATAATCCATAGGGACAGCTTGATTCCCAAACTGGGAGCTGAGCTGCAGGGACAGGAAGAGAATTTGCCCCAGACATGGATTTGGCACACATTTTCTCTTGGAGAAGAGGGGAAAAGCTCAATTTTCCTCATTTTTCCTCCAAGTGGGCCAGGAATGGGGGAAAGGGGCCAGTGTTTCCCAAGAACACGGAAACTGTGCTCCAGAGCCCATCCCTGGGTGGGATCCTGGGAATCCTGAAAATCCCTGTGTAGGATTCTGGCATTCCTGAACCCATCCCTGGGTGGGATCCTGGCATTCCTGAACCCATCCCTGGGTGGGATTCTGAGAATCCTGCACATCCCTGGGTGGGATCCTGGCATTCCTGAACCCATCCCTGGGTGGGATCCTGGCGTTCCTGCAAATCCCTGGGTGGGATTCTGAGAATCCTGCACATCCCTGGGTGCGATCCTGGGAATCCTGCACATCCCTGGGTGGGATCCTGGGATTCCTGCACATCCCTGGGTGGGATCCTGGGATTCCTGCACATCCCTGGGTGGGAATCCTACACATGCCTGGGTGCTGAAGGTCAGTGCTGAGCTCCAGGATGGAGCCAGGCTAACGGGAACACAGGGAGCACCTGGAGTCCTATTTTTCCCCAGAAATCCAGAAACACAGGAGCTGTGAACTCATTTTGCTTCCCAGCAATTTTATTACTTTCCTTAAT